AAAAAGAAGGGTGGATGGAGCACTGGTGCCAAAGTTGCTGCTGGCACTGCAGGTGTTGTAGCTGTTGGTGGTTTGGCAGTGGCCGGAGCAGTCCTTGGTGAGCACATTGCTGAGGAGGGCTGGGATGCAACCATGGCAGAGCTAGGCGACGTTGCCGCTGATGCAGGAGAGGCCATTGCAGGTGCCACCAAAAGATAATTTTCGATTTTTGTTGGGAATGAGGTTTACAAAGGTTGCTTCAAAAAGATAGCCTTTTTCTGAGGTGTGTAAGTGTTGTAGATTGTGCAACCGGTGTGCCATCCTTTCCTACCTTGATTGACATCCTGGAGGTGCTGCTGAAGACGTTGGTGAGGCGGTGGCCGGTGCTGCTGAGGACGCAGGTGAGTGGATTGCTGGAGCTGCAGAGGATGCGGGTGACTTCATCATGGACCTCTTCTGATGGCCTCAGTTTGTTGGTGAATTGGCCCGCCAGAGTAACCTTAGTGATGTTTACACCAACAATTTTTATGTCATCTTGCCTGCATGTAGGCAGCATTGTTTCTAAGTTGCGAAAGAAGGACTTCTATGCAGTGGGCCAACTGAAATGTCTTTTGAGAAGTACAGGCACACTGCTGAGCTGCGGACTTGGGATGTAAATCTCCCCATGACAAGCAGACTTTGCTACAGCTGCTTCGATCGTTTGAATGACGAATCCTGTGACCGTCTCCCTCTCTACAAACCGATTTGGTCCAGATACGTCCTCCAGTATATTCTGATGACAGACAACAGACAACGAGCATCTCTGAGTATGTTCCAAGATGGTCAGACCCTGACGTTTCCAGGGACTCCGGTCAACTAACTTACCAAGTGTTGCTCGGCGTCCTTGCAATGACAAACTCTGTCAATGACGGCGAGGCAAAGTTACTTCAAAGAAGCTGCCATACATTCATTTGTTCTGTCTATATACTAGATTGCAAGTCTCGTGCAGCTCGTGTTCGCGAGACTGACTATTGTATTTTGTACAGCTCAAACTGACCTGCTTTGCCTAGGCCCGAAGCAAGGCAGGAATCGTGTTGGACTGTTGAGAGTCGACTCAGTACCACACTGATATGCGCAGATTTTATCCGGTGCCGTACTGAATGTGAACATGACAAGGCAGACATTTTGACATTCTTTGCTTGATTATGTCTCTGTGAGGCCTTGCAGCTGCTGATGGAAGCTCTTGAGGCAAAGCGGTGGCGTATTTGGGCCGAAGACTCTTGGGTCACTGATACTGTATTTCTCATGGCCTTGAAGTCTTGGGCCCTGTGAAACCGGGCCACGAGTGGACGTCGTGCTGTTCGACCGACTCTAATGCTCTAAAAAGAAGCTTTATATATCTTTTGCAAGGCTGCTGGGCCGAAGAGCTTCTTGGCCTGGAAGCAGTCACTGGAAAATGAACAAATTGCTCCAAATGGTTCAAAAGATATCCCTAACATTTTTGAGCCAGTTGTTTTTTGGCATTTTGCAAAGTCACAGGTCATCCATGGGCAGCAGAGTTTGTGGCATGGCAACTGGAAGGCCTCTTGCAGGAGGAGACGCACGTTAGATTGCATGTCCATTGACTCATTCAACTCATCGCGCAAGATTGGTGAAGTGATGAATGCTGAACAACTCTACAAGTCTTTGACTCAAGTCATTTAGATTCCTTCTTTCTTCAATGTTTATCCTAATCATGCTTCGGCTTTCAAGGAGCTGGGCGTGCGGACCATTCTCTCCAGTCTTAGAGCTCAAATATGCATCAAAGATACTCGAGATGGTTCTATGGCCTTATAGCTCGTGGCACGTTTCCTTACTTTAGGCCCGAGGCAAGACAATCCGGCAAGCGGCACTGTCAAGGCACAGGGTGACAGAAGAGATGGCCAGTGCTGAGCTGAAAAAGGAAGTCACTTTTTTCATTTAGGCACCCTTGAGAGGAACGAAAGGAAGGTCGTGAGGGCCCAGGCTTTGAAGGCATGAGTTGTTTGGCATTGAAACACCCTGATCCATGCCACAGGTGCCCGTGGAGGCAAGGAGTGGAACGCGTTTTCCTCTTAGGGCCAGGCCCCACCGGCCCCACCCCTCTTTGCCAAGGTGTCCCGTGGCCACCGTGGCTGGCTTGGATTCAGAAGCTGTGAACACGTTCTTCAACATCGTTTTCTTTTGGAAAAGAATGAACCTCAGAACCTCGCTACTATGAAGATCAATGACGAGTTCTTGAGGTGCTCGCTTGAGGCGCCTCTTGCAAGGTGTGCGCCTGAAGGAGGGGCATGTTGGCTGCTGGCTGGTACAGGATGCTTTGAGAAAGATGTTGTTTATGAGGCGAATCGAGCCGTTGTGGAGTCATTGATGGAAGGAAGGCAGCAGCCCCTTTCTCTTTTTTCAAGCTTTGTGCTGCAGTTGTGCCTGCTTCGGTCTCATTCAGATCAGCTCACTCAAAGGATGCAACTGGGTTCTGTTTTCCTGTCTTGTGCAAAGGTTGTCTCCACGGTCTTTCCTGCACGCTGAAGAGAGTGGCGACGCTTGGCTGACCTACTCCATGACGGACGAATTGATGCAATGTTTACACACATGCAAAGCTTGTCCTTGTGCTGTGTGAGAAGGACAAGCTTTCCCTGGAGTTGACCACTTTCCCTTTCTTCGGGACCCGGCCGAATCCCGGCAATGAGGAGCTTCTACCTGAGGATCAAAGGGAGCGGCTGGCCCAAGATCGGGCCATGGACTTATGGACTTCATTCTTCTCCATTCAGTCCCAACTAAGTACCTGTCTGCTGATTGCACTGAAGGTATCAAGCCATCCATCCGTCGATGCACGTCGATTTGTTCGTGTGTGATCACTGGAGAAAGCCCTTGCATCATCAGCACCCAACATGTGCATCTGAAAGTATTTCAGATAGTGCAAGCCAAGTGAGAATGATCCCATCCGACCACACACTCAGATTTGTCTTGCAGAAATCCCAAGGCTGCGGCTGCAGAAAGGGTAGAGAAAGAAGTGAAAGCAGCGAAAGCTTCCAGCGCTTTGCCCTTCTACAGCGAGAAGATCCATTGCCAGGCACCGGGCATGTGTCCGTTTCTTCAAGTTGAAAGAAGATGCGTTGATTTGCACTGAGTTTTGTCTCGCTCACCTCGTCAATATGTCAGGGTTGTGGTACTTGGGGTGCGCGCTATGATCGCATTCCTCATGCACCTCGGCAGAAGAGATATCCAGAGGCTCAAGGCTCTTGGTTCAGTCGTCGTGGAGCTCTGGCAGCAATTTTGCATGTGGAGAACGTGCCGGAGATTTGTGCATCCACAGGTTGGTGGACACCACCAGCTGGGCAAGACGGCCTCATTGGGCGGTACTGACCATGCCCAGCAGCCCAGAGTGCTAGCAATGTCCAAGCAAGATAGATCCTTCGTTTTAGCACTCACACTGAGGCACGCATTGCTGCGCAGTGTGCTAGCTGTGGGCTGCGTTGGCGAACAGACGAGCCACCTTGAGAGTTGAAAACAATGCGAGTGTGTTATGGGCAGCAGGCCCTGTGTGTCCCACCACTTGCCTTTGTCTCCCTGTCGTGATTTTCTTCGGGATTTTCTTCTTGTTTTGTCTCCAGGTCTGGCTGGAGCTGGCAAGGCTTCACGTTGAAGGCTGGCCGGCAGGTGGAGTAGCTACAGGAGCAATGATTGAATTGAGAGTTTGTTTCCACAGGCAGCCAAAGCAAGTGGTGCCATTGCATACCGCAGCGACATGCACCAGTCTACCGTTGTGTCCTGTATTTTTTTATCTGCCGTGACTAGGCCCAAATGAACAACGTCATGAAGTATGGAGAACTGACGATGTGAAACGGCCTTACAATCATAAGTTTAAGATACTTCTTGAGGCCAAACATTCTAAAAATTATCAAAACGGCCACAAAACCGTTGTTCCTTTCATTGACAAAAAACTTTTTCGTTGTCTTTTCAAAGTTTTGACGACATGAGCGCCGAAGCCATGACGCCGGCAACGCCGCCGAATGAAAGCCGCCAGCCAGATGCTTACAGTGGATATGATACTCCAGAACCCGGCTCACCTGGAGGATCCTCGGCTAAACTTGAAGTACTTTTTGCTACTTTCTGCATACTTTCTACTTCTCAGTGCAAACGTTTTGGAGCTCATTGTGACACTTCTGGATTGCAAGCGACCACTAACGAAATGTTTTGCTCAGGTTACATGGGTGTACATCCTCAAGCATGGAGTGCTGAACAGTCGCAGTCATGGAATTGGAGCGCCGATGCAACGGAGTTCACACCGGGAGAGCCGTTTTGTGGTAATGTGGCTTTCTTTGTTCCGTTCCCTGGTATGGTTGGTGGCGTCATGCCAAACGCCAGCACAACAGAGGGCAGCAATGGTGAGATGCAGCAGCCATCAGAGCTTCATGAAATGGAAGCGAAAATGGCCGCACTTCAAGCTGAAAATGAAAGGCTAACTCAACTCTACGAAGCCGAATGCCAATTAAGGCACATTGAAGTCACCGCCTACAACCAGGTTTTTGAGATGTATGCAGTGCCCAAGGCAGAGGCGGAGGAGTTTGCTCGGCGACTTCAGGTGGAGACAGTCAGCAATGAGGAGTCATACCAATCAGGTGCGATGGCAGGTGCGATTCCTATGGAGACACCTGACGTGACGGGCAATACCACATCAGTGGAGACGCTGCTCAAAGAGACATTTCCGCACATCAAGATTCACAGCCTCGACGATCCTCCTGAACATCAAATCGCGGGCGACGAGGAGGCTCTTGTGGGCGACGATGCAGATGCCAAGACAGATGAGGAAGAACTAGAACAGCATTTGTTCCAGTTGCAGAGCATGGTAGGATCAGCCATTGACGAAAGGGCAAAACAAACCTTGTTGAGCCTTCCACCAGAACATGGGAAGGCAGCATTAGGCAAAGTTGAGGACATCATCCACGAGCAGGGTGGAGTTTGCCGTAACTTGTCATCAATGGTGCAGTCTGTCTGCCGGAAGGTGGGACACTCTGCAGGAATGAAGCAGTAAGACCTGAACGTCCGACCGTAGAACCTCCGCACTCTTCACATTATGAGAGATGAGCCGGGAAGCAAAAACATTGCCAGTGCTGTCAAAAGCTTTGTGATGCAACGAAGACATGCAGATGCATGAGTTCTGTAGGAGAGTTGCTTTGCTGGTTTTTGTGCATTGCCATTTCTTTCTGTGAAGGAGGAGCTTCAGTATCCAAGGCAGGGATTTGATTAACTCGGGGATCAGGGATCAGATGTGAACGGGCTCTGTGGTTACGAGGAGCGGGCTCAACGAACTCCCACGGACAAGGCTCAATGGGCCACACTCACGGCATGAGGGCGGGCCCTGTGGAGCTCCGACAATGACTTGCTTGGGTATGTTTCCAGGTCTTTGGTGATGGTGGCGTGCTGAAAGAGCTGGTTCCTCAGATTCTGATCTCTTTGCGCTTTACTGTTTCACAGTGTTTCACCGTGGGGACAATGGGAACACCGATAGTCAGCTTGAACGCATGATTGAACAGAAAACACAGGAGGACTCAGGAGAACACGTAATTACACAAGCTCGAATCACATGTTTGACAAGCACAGCCTTCTCCAGTACACATGATGTAATGCGCTGTTTGCGCTGAGACTGTGAGACAAAATCTTCCAGTCTCGATACTTCAGCAGCAGTTCTTGTCCTGAGGCTTGGGAAGCAAGAAGTGGAGCTGGAGGCAACTCTGAAGAAGTTCTATGCAAAGCCTGTTTGACTGCATTGTGACAACCAATGGCAAGCACTAAACACTGTATTGTTTCTTCAAAGCTGTCAATGCCTTTGAGCTCATGAAGAGAGTCGATGTGTTCATTGCATTTTCTGTTTGAACGGAAGACGATTTTCTGTTCAGGCCGAATCCCAGCAGATGTCCTTGGAAACTTTACGAGCCCAGAACCGGCTCATCGAAGAGCGTCTTGGCTGGTTTGATCGTCCAAGGCAAAACAAGCGCATGGTGTTTTGCTAGCTGCTAGCTTGACATGAGGAGTTCCTTAAGCAACCATGCTGCCATGCTCACATTTTGAGGTTTACTAAATGAGTGTCCCAATGAAGACTTGAGGTATGTAATGCGGTTAGTCCGTCAGCGAGACGAGCTGAAGCAGGTTACAAAGCTTGCAGAGGACTCACTAAAGCAATGCCTGCAGCGAACATACGCAGCTACTCAAAGAACCCATCTCCCACCATCAGAGTGGCAACTTGTCTAAGGTCCAAAAAATATCTTCTTCTCCAGAACGTTCTTCACTGCTTGCTCTTCCTTGCTATTATCATTATTTTTCATTCATTGTCTGAGATATTTATGCAGCCTATAGCCTTCCCCAGGAGCGTGACTCGTATTTCATTCTGGGGCTCCATGGCCCGTCTGTCAGCGAAGATGAGGCCCAAGAACCACCATGGCAAGATCTGAATCCTCTGAATGCAAAGCATTGGATTTAGGGAATTATGCGAGTTGAAACTCACAACACCGTAAAAAGAGAGGACACGAACGAAGCTCAGCAGTTTCTTTTTTCGTTCGGTTCATCTCTCATCATGCCAGGTGAAAAAGGCCTATCGGAACCTGGCCAGGAAGGAACACCCCGACAAGGTTGGTGAAAGTTGACCTCGGAGGCTTTTTTTTCCAATCTCCAGCCTTTGTCAGGCTGGCATTGGCAACAAAAAGCGCTTCCAAGCGATTCAGCAAGCTTATACCTCGATTCTCAAACAGAGGCACACTTGCAATTTGCATAATTTGGAGTTAAGTGGGGACATCCAGCTGCACATTCCAGTGGCCAACTCCAGCGAACAGGCAGCTTGGTGGACCGGCCGTTGCAGAGGTGCGGTCTGGTATTCTCAAGCTCCAAGCCAAACCAAACGACTAGTGCTGCGGTCTGTTTCATGATTGTGAAGAGCAAGACACGCCTTCATATACATATATATATATATAATATAGTTTCAATAAATCTTGACGTTTACTATACGTGAGGATGTCACAGAAGAGGTGCCGAAGGAGGTGGCTTGCTCAACTGGAGTGGTTGGATAAGTCTTCTGAGAACAGACTGGAAGTGTAGACAGGAAGCAGTGACAATTGCATTGGAATGGGCTAGTCTCCCAGGACCAACCTGGATGTGCCTGTATATATATATATATATATTTGTATATTTATACATTTCAGTACGTATTGTCATATAGCAATATTACGCGGATGCAGAGTTGCAGTCGGGACAGGAAGACATTTTCTGGAAATGTAACATCCAGATCTCAATATGATGGTGATATACATTTATCATCTACAAATTACTGTATATACATGTTGTTGGAAGGATGAGATCGGTGCCTCTTGGTGTTTTGGTCAAAGTTGGAGACATGTTCCTGCTTGTCAATGAGGTTGAGTCTTCCATCCTGAGAGAGTCTTACAAGTACGGCAGCGAGGCGGGACATAATGACAGAAAAGCCCAGGGTTTGCAAAGAAGGATTCCACACACAGGGTTCCAGTTTGATCTTATAGCAGGCTATGAAAGCTGAGGGAAACGACGGCTTTAGACTCTAGATGCACAGTGCACCGCATGTGCCTTTTACTCAATGGAACTGAGTATTAGATAACCTGATGTGCCACAATGACGAAGGCACAACAAGCAGCTGAATGGGTGGCATTGGGAGCACATCGAGTTATGCGTGTTTGGGAAGATTCTGAGGCCTCCGTCACAGGACTAAAAGAGAGGAACATTGCAGTAAAAGTTATGACAAGGAACGTTCTCTCAAAACATGTCGAGATGAGCCGCAGGGCCGACCAACTTGCAGAGACAGAAAGACCAAACTTATTAACTTCTGTAGATTCTTGAGCAAATGGGAGAGTTGACAAGATGCAGCAATGACATGCAGTTTGGGAATGCGGGATGATGCATGGCATTCGCAGAGTAAAGGGAGCAATCACTACCATGTGTTGCCATGCATGAAAGCCGAGAGACAAGAAGGAATATCCTTAAACCCTAGAGCACGCAATCAAGTTGACAAAGTCGAGATCATTAAGCAAAAAAGGAAGACAGAAAACAGCTAAGAAAAGACAAAGAACAGCAAGTTGAAATCTGTAGACTAGACCAGGGGAAGCGCCGCTCCTTGCGCAGTCTGCGGGAACTCACGCGTCATAGAGCTCAGAAGATGTGTTTCTTTTTTGCGGATAGGCATGTCCTAATCATTTGTTCAAGATCACAAGAGGAAGCCACAAAAGAGATGTCAAAATAGTTCAGAAGCCAGACGACGTTTGCAAGGCCCTACTACTTTGAAATTTGAACGATTGTTTGTCTCCAGGCCAAAGCACTGTAGAACTACGAGGCGCTTCATTTGAGACTAAAGGTTGTTTCAAGGAATTTAATACGTTTGGATCAATGGGAAGCATTGTGAATGCATGCAATCTCATTCCTTGCCCGTCTTGTCACTCAAGTCTCCATATGTTGTGAAAAGACTCATCTGCCCAGTCGGTGCCACGAATCTACGAGGCCTTGGGCAGCAGCTGCGATTGCTGGGCCGTGCCACAGACGCTACAGTGCGCTGTGCGGAGGTAAGAAAATCAGAATTTGAAGTGTCAGCCAGTCTGTCAGCCAGCCTTGTGGCCTTGCACTTTTTCAGGTTTTACTATGTTTCACTGTTTTCTTTTGCACTTGTTTTTAGGCCTTCGAATAGACTTTTCTTTTTTATTCCTTTATTTGGTTTTGCTGTGGTAAACAGAGGCATTCCTGAGCGACAACAGCGACATCGCGGAAACTTTGAGCACTGGGGTTTGCCCCTGAGCCTTTGCTTCCCACCTTTAAAACTTTACTTGTGCTAGGAAGACTAATTGAACTTGGGAAGTGTATCCATTGAGTTCCAGCTGTTTCAGAGTGATTTGCTTCTCCAATTTGGCTTGAACAGATGGCTCTCCGTGATCGATGTGCTATTGTGGAAGATGCAGGCAGAATGCGACGCGTCAATAGCATCTAGTGCTTGCATTTTTGTTGGGGCTCCTGGCCTCACTACTAGGAACAAGGAGGCTACTAGGGGCTCCTGGCATCGCTACTAGGAGCAAGGAGCTACTACTAGGAGCTGGGTAGCAATGCAGCCAAAGCTACTCATGAAACTCTCAAGCAACGAAGGCCGTGCTTGCGCCACTTCAGCTGAGCTTTTGGAGAGGAGCACTGCTCTTTCAGAAACTCCAGAAGCTTTCAATAAGTTTAGTTTGCTTTCAAGAAGTTTACTCTAGCGGAATGGAACACGCCTCAAGGATTGGGATACTGAAGGCAAAAGACACAAGTTTCTTCAGTGATTCAACAATGGACTCAATCATTGTTGGCCAGGATCACAGAGGCAACTGAGGCAGCTTTTGCTGCGTTTCCTACGGGTTTTGCAGCATTCTTTGTTCAGCGTACTTTCGGGGAGGCAACGCTGAAGAAGGTTGAGAAAGCCTCACCAGAAGCTAGTGAAGTGGCAGCCTTAGGATATGCTTAGTGGGGTTCAGGAGTAGCCATGGCAATCATCTGAGCTATGATCAAGAAGGAGCGGTTCTGGTGCTGGGCTTATGAGAGCTGTTGTCCTGATGTTTTCGAGTGATTTTGTCAGGGCAACAACTTACAACGCCTGGGAACGCGACTGTTGACTGAGAGTCTGGACCTCAGAGTCCTGCTGTTGAGCAAAAAGCAAAGACCGACCTATCAAAAGGTTTTGGCCATCCCTTTTCGATCTTGTAATGTTCCTTTCAATAGCGTCCTTTTGTAGGAACAAGAAGCTACTAGGAGCAAAGGGCATCGCTACTAGGAACAAGGACGCTACTAGGGGCTCCTGGCCTTACTACTAGTAGCAAGAAGCCATTAGAAACAACATCGTCCTCTTTTTCCTTCTTTGATTTGTGAAAGCACATGTTTGAGGCTCCAAGGCTTCAGGCCGAGGCTTCACACATCGTGCAAGGCTTGGCCCGAAGCTCTTCGGTGGCCCGCCGCACTGCGGAGGAGGCCATTTCATCAGCCAGTAAGGTGCGAACCTCTTTTTGTCAGAAGAAGATAGACAATAAGCAACTATTAACTATATAGAATGAACCATCAAATAAACCTTGGGTTCAGCATTCAACATTGAATGAATCTTGTGGTTTCTCCCGGTGTCTCATGGTTTGGCTGCAGACCTTGGACCTTCACAAGGGCTTAATGATGTTGGATGCTGAAGCTCGAAAGGAGCAATCGCAGTGACCGCACATTTTAACACTTTTTTTCACATGGAAAAGAAGTCATGTGTTTTTCTTGACCAGTGTTGGACTGATGTGTTGCACTGATGAGTGTCGAAACAGCTGCCATTAGGAGCGAGAGCGACTTCGAAAGCGCCAGCAATTCCCAGAGGACGAACCTATGCCTGCAAATGCTTGAAACTGAGCCATATGATTGGTGGTAGATGGTAAGCGTCTACGGGTGTATTAAGGCCTAAGTGATGCAGATCAATTGACAGCAACGTGCTGTACCTAGGATGTGGAACGGCCAACGGAGAAGACCAGCAGCAGCCCCTCGGAAAGAACAATGAACTAGTGTGTTGCTTGTTTGGAGGTGTTTGTCAGTACCCGTGGCTCGAACCGCCTGCCCTGTGAGCTCTAGTTGACCGACCATTTGCCAATGGTCTATGTTTGACGATGCTGCAGATATCGATCTGGAGTTGGCACTGCTGAAGGCAGAACCTTTGAAAGCATTGCAATCTTTGCAGTCAAAACTGCCTCAGCTTGCTCCACAGCTACGGCGTCAGCGCCACTTGCTTTGTCCTCTATGCTGCAGCGGTACCTGTGGCACCAAGTTTGCTTTACACGTTTTGAGACTTCACATTTCGCCTCATCTATTAGGTTCTTATAGGTTGGAGGCCATCGCTCTTAGGTTGGAGGCCATTGATAGGATCTTATCGCTGTCCGTTTCAGAATCTTCGTCCAAATTCTCCTCATTCCTTTCTTGCTGCGGCTCAGCTTTTCTTTCTTGACTAGGCGATGACGAGGTGGCAGCAGCCGCAGCCAAGCTTTTGGATCAGCTGGCAGAGCCAGAAGCGACTTTTTGTGGTGGTCGTCGGACCTTTCACTATCGCGGCATCGAGGCACCCCGGCACGCTTCACGTTTGATAGAGTTTAGAATTGGCAAGTTATTCTTGGTGTCCTCCAACCACATAAGGATGAAGGCAATGCCTTAAACTCATTCCCAGCGCCTTGGAGTTGTGCAGGTGGAGTATTGGGAACTCGACGAAGATCCTGGTGATCTGCTTTTCGGCTATGGTGCTTGGCCAGTGGCTGAATCTCTCTCAAAACTGCTCATCAATTCGACTTTGTCGGAGCACGATTCACAAGTTGTTCCATCAGTGCACGGCAAACACGTACTCGAGATAGGAGTCTGGGTTGCAAGCATTCGCACAAATGTTGAGCGCTTTCAAGTGCTATTATATATATATATATAATATATATATTCTTCAAATCTGGTTTGTCAAGTGGGCAACGGGCAATTGCTCTTCAATTACAAGTCACAATCTACAGGATCTATAAGCCCAGGCCAAGTGCTTGTTTGCAGCTCAACTCCCTCGCTTCAACGCTCCACGCATCGCAACACACCGCATGTGGCTTCAGGTGCCGGTGTGGCGCTGGTAGGGCTCACCTGCTGTGCTTGTGGGGCCAAAGTTCGGTTGACGGACGGGGAGAACCGCTTGGTCAAAGCTTTAGAGGACGCTCGCAGTCACTAAGGCATCAGACATGCTTTGTCAGACACCTGCAATTTTGAGCATGTGTGCATGATTCGTGATGCATACATGTACATTTTTGCTTTTTGCATCGCACTCGATTCCATTTATTGGTATCACTGGCAGCCTGAGGAGCATCATGGACATCACAACGATCTAAGCTTTGAGGTCCTTGATTGGAACGTGGATCAAGGCTCATGGCTGCAGTTCCACCAAGACCTTTGATGTGTTTATGTATTCACACTTGCATGTAGCTTGCGTGTGCAAGTTTTATGTTCACAAAAGTCACCAAAATGTCCCATTTTGGCTCAAGTGATTGGCAGTGGTGTGACGCTGCAATTCTGTGACAAAGCATTCTCCGTCGAGCGACTTCCCCATTTGTTCACACAATGGCTTCGCCGACTGAAATAGGATTTGCTGTGGCGGATGTTTTTGATGGAACGGTCGTTGAACCGTGGACGCTGACACAGTCCCCAGCCCGGGGATGGATGCACACAACGAGGAGGTGGACGTGGCCTCCAACCTCGTTATCAGAGCGGAAGAGGATGTCGCTGTGGCAGACTGGCCGCCCACATGCAGGAGCTGGACCTGAAGGTACTGGAGCCCCTGGGCGGGTCAAGGTACAGCAGGACACCGCCGCCCCCAGTGCCATTGGTCGTGGTGCCGAGATCCCTGAAGGCACCATCTTTCATGACGGAGTTTTTGGACTTGCTGGAAGAGACGAGGCCGGGGTTAGACAGGTGGACCTGTCAGGCGCTCCATGGCGGCCCAGCCCATTGGGTGCAAGCCAGCAACTGACCAGCTCGACATGCTACTGACCCTGTCCTGCTGGCCCCGTCCAGGTGCCAGGTGGCCCTGGGGGGCCAGGTAGGGTGGATCAGGCATGGGTGAGAGATTCTGCCTGACGCACCCTTATTTTGAAGTCAACTCGACAGGGGTCAGAAGACCCATGCACAACTCCAAGCTTTTGAGAGAAAGAGGTTCTGCAGATCGTTTCGGAGCTTCGTTGGGGGAGTTTTGCTTTTGCATGTGTGGTTTTCCCCGCTGTTGCAGTTCACCGCGAGTAAAGTTAAGAATATTCCAACTTCGGAAAGTCAGGCTGTGTTGCTGTTTTTCACTTTCAATGCTGTGAGGCGTGGAGCAATTTGACATCATCGTGGCCTCGGATGTGTTGCTTTGTTGCTGTGGTGCTCCAGAAGCGCTGCCAGCAGTCCTCTCCAGACGCCTCAAGCTGGATGGCAAGGCTTTGCTGTTGAACGTGCTTCGCGGTGCACGCGCGCAGCTGCTGCTTGGAGACAGTGTTTTTTGTACGTGTCCAATTGGCAGCACTACTCTTGCAGTGCCGTTCCCTCGATTTGCTATTTTCAAAGCTTGAATCACAGCGCTGACGATGCTGTTGATGCTATTCTTGTTCTATGACGCCATAAAGCTTTCAGAATAATGCAGAATCCCTCTATTTCAAGTTCCACTTGTAATGCTGTAATGCCTGCGTGAAAGCCTGGTAAGGATTGCCATTTCATTACTTCAACGACACGGTTTTTTTGGTTTCGATTTTTGCCGTGGCCTCGTTGGACATGTTACCGCTTTCGACGGAGCAGATCTCTAAGTTGCCAGATGCAGCGCATGTTTTGCTTGTTGTGACGTGGGCAGATAGGAACAAATGCCTCTACCAGCCTCTACCACTTGAGAGCTGATCAGCAGCACATCAAATGTCAGTTCGTGTACCAAGCGTTTGCCAGAGGGCGTCTTCAAGCTAGTGGCAAATGTTTTGGCGTTTCTTTCGCAGCAATTTGGAACACTTGTTGGTGCGATCACTCAACAATGAGCAAGACCGCGGATCAAGCAGCGAGGGTCTTTCAGCTGGAGTTTTGGCTCTCGACTCTCCACACTTATTCGTGGGTGGCTGCCGCAACCATCGACAAAGAATGTGCACCTTGGTGAGGTGCGCATGTTGCATCTCTTTGAGCATCTTTACTTGGAACTTGTGTTTGCCTACAGACAGAGAGATGTGAGTCATCCAAGTTAGGGGTGCACGATGGTTGTCATATTGTCATGCAGATTGGCGCAAGAGCGCCGAGTTCAAGAGAGGTCGGTGCCTTCATAATGATGGCTGCCGGCTGCCTGTCTTGCGCACTTGGACGCTTCGGTGGAGACAAAGACCGCTTGCGCCCAAAGAACTTAACATACCTGTACAGATGTGTCATTGCGATCAAAAATGTAGCTCATCAATAAGCTCATTAAAGCCGCGAGATAGATCGCACAAAGTTGGAGGTGCTAAGGATCCCGAACATGTCATAGCACCGTTTGTTGCCCCTGAAGGCAGTTTTGATGAACGTGTGGTGTATGTTATTGTCTCGTTGGGTGCACCGCCGGCTTTTCGGGATTTTTTTAGCGTGGGAGAGGATTTTGATCAAAGTTCAAAGCAGAAGGGCTTAACCGTGAAGCTT